AGCTATGCAACCTTGGGGAAATTACTCCACCACTCTGATCCTCATGTGTATCATGAAGGGACTGGGTGACCACTAAGGCTCTTTCTAGTTCTACAATCTTGTGATTACTGTCCTATTCCATCCAGGCTGCTATAACAAAATCCCTTAGATTGGGTAATTTATAAACAACAGAAATTTATTACTCACAGTTCTGGAGGCAGGGAAGTCTAAGATCAAGGTACCTGCAGATTCAGTGTATGGTGAGGGCCCGTTCCTCTTAGATGGCACTTTCTATGTGTCCTCACTTGGTAAAAGTGGTGAACAAGCTCTCTCAGGCCTCTTTTATAAGGGCACTAATCCCATTCATGAGGGTGGAACCCTCTTGACCTCACCTGCCAAAGGCCCCACTTCTTAATCTCATTAGAGATTAAGTTTCAATATATGAATTTTGGGGGGACTCAGACATTCAGAACATTGCAATCACTTGCATCATGATTTTATTACCTGTCTGCAGCACTGTTGGAGTGGTTGACTCAGCAGTCTGATAGTTTTGATATTGTTAAGGAAGCTTGATTTTTTTTGCCATCACTAGCAAGTGTATGGCCAATAGTTGAACAATCTGATGCTCCTGATGCAGATGGAGTTAGGCTGAGACTGACCAGATTTCTTCCTGCTGTCCTCTTTCAGGGACGCAGCCCGGGCACCGGCTGGCTAGAGGAACCCCAGGCCGAGTCAGAGCTTGAGTGAGGCCTGGGAAGGGGGACAAGCTGTCACCCACTGGCCTTGCCAGCCCCGCTTCAAGATGCTCAGCCTGAAGCTCCCCAGGCTGTTCAGCATAGACCAGATACCCCAGGTATGTGCTCTGTTTGTTCCAGTGGTTGAGTTTCAGGGTGGCACCAGGGCATGGCTGCTGCAGCAGGGGACTGTTTGTCTTCAACTGATCTGTTCTGAACAGGCCGTCTCTTCACGGCTTCCTTCACGGACTCCCTGCGGGCAATGAGAACCTCCTCCTTCCCCACCTAAACCACACCTGGAAATGGAAGTGATCCCCAAACTGTTTAAGTTGTAACCATTCCCTGTGACACCTGTGTTTTATCCAGAAGCAAAGTCATTATTATTATTTTTTTAACTTTTGTTTTCTTTTTGGCGGCTGGCTGGTATGGGGATCTGAACCCTTGACCTTGGTTTATAACACTGCACTCTAACCAACTGATCTAACTGTCCAGCTCCAAAGTCATTGTTGAGGTTACAGGTTCAAGCTAAAGAGATGAGGCCGGCAGCAGCCATCTGGGTAGCATAGGTTTTCTAGGACCCTCCTATGGGTGATTGAAAGCAGGCCAGAAGTGAAGTCATCTTAGGGCCTGGCTTTGCTGTCTTCCTCATTACTTGTAGGAGGTCCAGGCCAGGCCTGGGTTAGGACGATGGGGAGGGTTGTAGAATGGGCCTTAGCACCACCTTTTAATGGACTCCTGGGCCTGGGAGCTCGCTGGCAGCCCTGAGGTATACGGGACTCACTGACAAAATGCTTTGATAAGCCTTAGGTGAGGTCACTCTGTGTGTACCCCCTTCTTCCATTGCAAATAAAACATCATTTCATTGCACCCCTGTTTCAATTTCGACTATCCTTTTTTGACTGAAGAAGAGTGTTATTTCATGATGGGAAGTTTTATTTGGAGGATATCACGGACTGGAGGAGAACCCCTCTCTGCTCAGCTGATTGTCAAGCACTTACAACTTTTCCCAAGGAAAATAATTCCTAAACTAACTCAGCATCATGAACGGAAGATTAAGAGAAAGCAAACTGCCAAGCCCCCACCTCAAAAGCCTGTGAAGTTAGGCTGTTCCAGGAAGAGGGCTCTGCGGGAAAACTGTAAATGATGAAGAATGTGGCAGGGAACAGGCAGGTAGAAATGAGGCCTGTCCCCACGGCACTGGGGAGCAGAACACCTGCCGCAGCAATCACTGGGTCACGTGCTTCTCTTCCTGGTGCCCTTCACAGGTGGGTCTGCCTGGGGAGCCGCAGGGGCCGTGGGAGTGGGAACCTTTGTGATTCCTTGACTCATTCACTCCTGAACTTTGTCCTGACTGCCTACTCTGTGCAAGGTGTTACTCTGGGCGGGATTCAGAGAATAATCGCATACGAATCCTGTCCTCAAGTAGCTCATGTGTTGGTTAGGAAGATTCTTAAATGTGCATGAGCAGTTCTGTTGTAAGTGGGGTAGGGGGTGTCTGTCCTAAGAGAGGGACAGATAGTTTTAGAGGAGGCATCACTTCTGTCATGTGGAAGGAAGAGATCAGGGAAGGCTTCATGAAGGGGGTGATCTTAAAGATGTGTTTTGAGGGGTGGGTGCATTTGAGGGGTGGAGAGAGCATTCTGGTGGAAGGAATAGTGTGAGCAAAGATCAGGGAAGGCTTCATGAAGGGGGTGATCTTAAAGATGTGTTCTGAGGGGTGGGTGCATTTGAGGGGTGGAGAGAGCATTCTGGTGGAAGGAATAGTGTGAGCAAAGGCCTGGAGGTGGGAAATCATGGGCAGGTGAGGGGACTCTTGGGGGTGGGGCTTATGTGCGTCTGCTTGGATGTCTCCTGGGTGTTTTGGTCAGGGTTGGGTTCTGAGCACATCCCAGGAAAGAAGTGAAAGGAGGAAGAGTGGTATCAGTAGGGGTTTTGGGGGGCCGAGCCCGTGGCGCATTCGGGAGAGTGCAGCGCTGGGAGTGCAGCAGCGCTCCCGCCGCGGGTTCGGATCCTA